TCAATACACATCTAAGCAGAGGGTGTTTACTGACAGCTTACCTGGTACAGTCACTGGTTCAGAGTCAGTAACGTGCTCTCTGTCACAACTGTCAATGGTCAGTAACTTCTGATGAGAGAAAGCTTTAAATGCTGCTGTCCTTTGCCTACAGCCATTCATAGGTATGTCATCATCTAGAACCTGACTGAGACCTAGAGAACAGAAGGTGGTCTAATTAATCCAAATTCCCAGTAACTCTGCTCAAAGAGAAGCAGGTATTTGAGTCTTGAGGCTCTGAATTCTTTTTTGTTTTTCTAAAGTACGCTATTAGAGAAGCATATTATCTGTACCTGTTTTTATGACATTCTCACTTTTTTAACTGATCAAACTGTACTTTCTGGTAGTAAAACTGATCAGTGTTTATCTGTAATCAAACTAACTAAAGGACAGAAAGCAAAAATAAAATGAGAAACATGAAAAAGTTTCCAGTGGCACAGCAAATCTGATGCTTACAAGTTCCAGACACATTAAAAAATTGAGGATAAGCGTTGCTTCTTGTAAAAGCAAATAAACTCATCATCCAAAAACACTGTGTCTGCTGTTTCTTCCAGAAAATATTTAGTGATCTGTAACTATTTCATTCACAGTAGGTTTTTTTTTTCCAATGTTAGGACCTTTAAATTCTTCAACATTTAGCATATTTTAAAATATGGACACTTTCTTTTTCCCCACATAATTGAAAAACAGGAAACACGAGAAAGAAAAATGAGAAAAATGCATTTAAATGTGAATTTAAATGCTTTTTCTGAAAAGACGGAGTATGAAAACACCTAAAAGTTCACTGTCTACACTGCAGTTGGAAAAACAGGTCTCCTATCTCCTGATTCAATATTCTTATTCTATTAGGTATCCAGAAAATAAAATTCAAAAAATATAGAATAGCAGTATTTGAAAATTACATTATAAAAATGCAAGTTATTAAGAAATGAAAATAAAATTTTCATCTCTCTCTAAACAACTTATTCAAAAGATCTTATAGAGAAGTTATTTTTCTCCTAGTAAAAGCTATTAACATAAGAAGGCAGGTACCACCTAGAAATTCACATTTTCTTATCATGACATCTTGAATAAAACATGACTTTCAATCTATTTTTTTATAAAACAAGTCACGTTGAGTTCAGCACATATAAACAGAGTATTGCACTGAACTGTACAATAACCTTGTTCTTCTGAATTTTGCACTTCGTGGATATTTGCTGATTTTTCTTTGATGGACAAGGCCAAGGTAACGTTCAAATCCCTTTCACAGAAACTATCATCCAAGGATGTCCTGAAAAAAACAAACATTCAAAATGAAAGTATAATAAGACAAGAGTCACTAACCTATTTCTGACTTACTAAGATTCAAATATCAATATTTCTACAGAAATTAATATTTCAATATGTACTTTATCAAACATCATGCCACAAATTAATTCCAGAAAAGACTCAAAGAAAGTATCTACTGATATTTAAAGCACAATATATTTAAAAGTATTATTACAGGAGAAAACAAGACAAACATCATCCATCTCGACTTCCACTTCTATAAAATAATAGTCATAAAAATCGTGTATGCACAAAAGACTGTCCCTGAAAATACAGAGTGCAGAGTGTTAAACGAAGATAAAGGGTAAAAAACAACAACAACACTTTCTCCTTTAAAAGTACTTTCTTAACATTCTAATTCTTAAAATAACACTTTGAGTCTTCATTCTCAAATGCATAAAATGATAGGAAAAAAAAAGAAAAAATACTGTTTTGTAAGTCCAGGCTCCTATTACAAATGCAGTAAACCACATTTCAATTTTTCTTACTTTCCAGTAGGTGACTCTTTTTGCAATGGAGTTGATTCTTTTCGTGGCTTTTGCTTCTTCTTTGTCTCCTTTTTTGGTTCCTTAGGCTGTGTTCTGGATTTTTTTGTTAAAGGTGCAGCTATGCATGCAAAGTCTTCATCTATGTAAGAAATATTAACAAGCTTTAATTAATTTTCTTCAGTATATTCTATGTGGTCAAAAAGAAGTCACTCAACTCAATCTCATCATGTACTGAAAATACAGAATACACAACCTTTCTGAAATTAAATCTGTTAATAAAGAGACAAGTGTAAATCTACTGTTCTTCAATGCAATTTAAATGAAAATATAACAAGACCTCTTATGCATCTGTGTTAAAGGCAATTTATACTAACAATATGTGACTAATGGTTCAGTATTGAGTTTCTCAACAGCTGCAAGTTTCACCTTTTGAAATACATAATAATAATCAATTATAATAGCAATTGCTGTCATTCATTAGTTTTAGAGTCTTGGTGTTTTGGAAATTAATTGCATTAATGGCCTCCCATTCACAAGCAATGCAGACTGCTTCCTATTTTCTAGCCTTCTCATAATGCCTCTCACCAAATACAAAACACATTCTCCGGTTTTCTGAGAATATCTGAAGGTATCAAAGCTTTCTTTCTTCTGACCAATTACAATGCAGTTCAGTGTAAAATAAGGAAACAAGACAACAATGTGTTTTCTAAATGCCATGGAACAGATACATAGTCCCTTCTGAGAGAAAAAATCTAAGAGACAGAAGAAAACTTTTTTTTTTTAATATTACAAGTGGTCACTTAAAAAAAATAAGAAAAGTTATGAACCATATTTAAACTCACGAAACTAAGACTCTGCGTTAACTAACATGACTTACAAGAGATCTTCAAGATCATTTAATTTTTCCTTCCCCTTCCTATCACTTCAAAATGTTCAATGGATACCAAAAACTGACGAATAGCACAGGAAAAAGAAAAAAAAAAAAGTTAATCCAAATTCATAAAGGAAAATTATGCAATACCCATTAGGGCTTAGAAGGAGGACTGTCAAGACAACAAATAGACTGCAATCTATTTTTGTTATCCATAGAATTCAAAATCTGATTGCTAAATCCTTATCCAAAATCCTTTAAGACACAGACCTCCATGAGAAATGTTAGATCTGTGCACAACCAACTACATAACTCCCTTCATATTCTGATATGCAGACTTGTGAAATGATCATAAGGAGGACATGGAACAAGTAACTCTCTCTGAAAACTGAGGCAGACAGAGAAACAGATTTTCCTGCAATCAAAAGACGTAGCGCATTCAACAGATCCCTGGCAAACTGTTGTTATGCTCTGGCTTACAGAAATCATATTCTTGTTGAATCAAGATTTTTAACAATGTGCTCAGTTTACATCCACTGAAAACATTAATAGCCTTGTCACTTAACTAAGTCACAAAAAAGAAGACCACTCTGCTGATGCTTTAGGTTGTGGCATTCGTGCTTGGCATTTCAGTTATGTACAGAAATACATCACTTACCACCATCTTCAAAATCCCCAAATTCTGAATAATTAACAATTTTCCTGTTCCTGTAGCAAAAGAACACAGTATTAAGCCTTTCATATTGAGAATCCTTACTAGCTAATTCTTGATTTGGTTTAAATCATGTAGTTAAGGAGAAAAGCAATGTATGTCCAAATACACGTGTAACTTGTAACTATTGCAAACATGGTTACTAAGAGTATTAGAATAGCTTGGTTGGAAGTGATAGTTCCAACCTCCCCTTCCAAGTGCAGGGACACCCCCACTAGATCAGGCTGCCCATTTAGCATACTTCGGCTTCTCTGTGTAACCTGTTTCAGTGCCTCACCACCCTCGTAGTGAAGAATTTCTTCCTAATATTCAACTAAACCTACCCTCATTAAGTTTAAAATAGTTTCTTCTTGTCCTCCTGAGAGTCCCTTTCCAGTTTTGTTGTAGGTTCCCTTTAGGTACTAGAAGGCTGCTATAGGGTCTTCTTGTCCCCCAGGCTGAACAAGCTGAGCCCCCTGAAAATGCCTTACAGAGAGGTGCTCCAGACCCGCTCATCTTCACGGCCCTCATCTGGACTTGCTTCAACAGCTCTTCATCCTTCTCCTGCTGGGAGCCCTAAGCATCAGCATGGTTTTCCAGGCAGGCCCTCATGAGTGCAGAGCACAGGGGAACAATCACCTTTCTTGCCCTGCTAGCCACCCCTCTTTTGACCCAGCCCAGGGTACAGTTGGCTTTCTGGGCTGAACTGCATAATGTTGACATGCGTTGGGTCTTTCACCAACAAACACTCCCAATCCTCCGCAGCACTGCTCTCAATCCATTCATCTCCTTGCCTGAATAGCTCCTAAATAAGTGTTTTTGTTGTTCTCCTTATGGAAGCACGGTATTCTTACACACACACACCTTCTCCGAGATTCAATTCCTTGGTCACTTCCATATGCTCAAGGTGTGTTTTCCATGCAGTTTTTACATGGTTTACCATGCCACACTGCTACCAGTGCAGGTGTTTCTGTACCCAGAGGGCCCCTTTGCATGAGGTTTACGACTGCCTCTCAGAGCCCACCTGAGGGCCACCACCTTCACGCACAAGCTCTCTGATGGACATAAGGGCGGCTGCTGCCTACTTGTTGTGTTACAGTTTGTTTGTTTTCCTTCTGCAGGAAGAGCCCCGTGCTTTCAGCTGGAGAAGAAACGTCGCCAAACCGCCCACAAGCCTCGCTCTGCAGCAGCCCACAGAAAAGATCTCGCCTCCAAGAACAGGTCCAGCAGAACTGACAACAGGGGAGAGCGGGGTGGACGTCACGCAAGCGACAGGCAGATGCAGCGCACCAGACGCTTTCGAAGAAAAACCGCTCGGCACCGTTCGGCGCACACTCCCAACGCCTCCGCGCCCCGAGGAGCGGAAGGCACGGCGGCCACCGAACCGCGCAACACGCGCTCATGTCCCTCGTCCCGTCCGCGCGGCGCGACCGGACCCGACCCGAGCTACATCACGCACCTCCGCACCATCCCCGCCATCGCCGCAGCAGCCGGCGACGGCCGCGAAAGACGCGCGCCGTTGACGACACTGTTCCGCTCTTTTGATTCCAGCAGAATTGCACATTCGCCACAGAGAGGCGGAGCGGAGACAGCCGGTTCTACGGCGTCGAATCTGCGTTTCCGGATGAGAAGCTATTGAAGGGAAGGGAGGAGGTCCTGGCGTCGGCGCTTCCCGGACAGAAAAATCGAATACCTCGTCCGGAATCCAGGTGAGAGATGAGTGCGGTGGAAGTCACTCCTGCCTTTCGTACGAGGGCGCCGGCCCCAGCCCCTGTCACCGGTCGGCCAGCGCCCCTCGGCTTGGTGAGACCGCTCCGGAGCCGGTGCGGCGTTCGTCTGCTCTGTCGGCCGGGCCGCCCCTCCTGTGCCGTATCTCCGCAGCTGAGCCTTGCGGTCTCGTGACTGAACGAGCTTGCCTCGGAGCTGGGCGGGGGGCTTTGTTCTCCCGGGGAACACGTTACTGCAGGCCCTTCTCCTCTTCCCTTCTGTCAACAACTTTGTTTCTGCATTTTCAGTAACCGCAGCTACTGCTGCCTTTCCTCTGAGCCTGTTAACCTTGAGCCTGCAGTGGGTTTGAGGACACAAATGCAGACTGAGTGCGCTGTTGCATGGCGATCGAAAACTTTTCACATCCTTTGTCTTCCCCTCTTAAAGTTAGTTTACTCGAGGAATGGTACAGAGATGTTTGTTGCTTTTGCATGTCTAAGTGGTGCTGTTCAGATCCCTCTCTGCAACTGGACATGTGCCAGCCTCGATTTAGTTTTGGTTGTCTTGGAATGTTCGTTCATACATGGAACTTGTAGATAAAATACAGGGTGATATATCTTTCAACTATGTGTTAAGTTTTCTACAGAATCAGTGAATGGTTTGGATTGAAAAGAACCTTAAAGATCAGATACTTCCAACTGTTTGGACACCTCCCACTAAATCAGATTTCCTAAGGTGCCATCCAACCTGGCCTTCAATACTTTAAGGAATTGAGCATCCATAGCTTCTCTGGGGAACCTGTTCCAGTGTCTCAACCTCCTATTTTAAAACTGTTACCCTTTGTCTTATCACTCCAGATAAAAAGTCCTTCCCCAGCTTATCTTTTAGCTCCCTTTAAGTACTGGATGGGTGCTGCAACGTCTTCCCGGAGCATTCTGTTTTCCAGGCAAGAAAATAACTCTCAGCCTGTCTTCATAGGAAAGGAGCTCCAGTTCACTGATCATTTCTGTGGCCTTCCTCTGGATTTGCTCTAACAGGTGTCTGTCTTTATTGTGCTGGGAGTTCCTGAATTGAATGCAGCATTCAAGGTGGAGTAAACAGTATTCACAGAATCACAGAATCACAGAATCACCCGGGTTGGAAGGGACCTCAAGGATCATGTAGTTCCAACCCCCCTGCCTAGCAGGGCCACCAAACACACACATTCAGATCAGGTTGCCCAGGACCCTGTCCAACCTGGCCTTAAACACATCCAAGGACGGGGCATCCACAACCTCCCTGGGCAGCCCGTTCCAGGGCCTAACCACTCTCCTTGTATAGAACTTCCCCCTAACATCCAACCTAAATCTTCCCTCCTTCAACTTCGATCCATTTCCCCTAGTCCTGCTGTTGTCAGCCCTTTTGAAGAGTTTACTCCCCTCGTGGGTGTAGGTTCCCTTCAGGTATTGATAGGCTGCAATGAGGTCACCCCGCAGCCTTCTCTTCTCCAGGCTGAACAAGCCCAACTCCCTCAGCCTGTCCTCACAGGGGAGGTGCTCCAGCCCCCTGATCATCTTAGTCGCCCTCCTCTGGACCCTTTCCAAAATCTCAATGTCTTTCTTGTACTGAGGGCTCCACACCTGGACACAGTACTCCAGATGGGGCCTCACAAGAGCCGAGTAGAGAGGGACGATCACCTCCCTGTCCCTGCTGACCACCCCTCTCCTGATGGAGCCCAGGATCCCATTTGCCTTTCGAGCTGCCAGAGCGCACTGCTGGCTCATGTTCAGTCTCTCGTCCATCAGGACCCCCAGGTCCTTCTCTGCCGAGCTGCTCTCAAGGACCACTCCTCCCAGCCTGTACGGGTGCCTGGGGTTCTTCCGGCCCAAATGCAAAACCTTGCACTTTGCCGTGTTGAACCTCATTAGGTTCACCCGAGCCCAGCCCTCCAGCCTGTCGAGTAAACAGTAAACAGTATTAAAGTCATTTGTTTAATCGATTCCCAGCATGTGGACTTGTTTATGACCCTATAGACTAATCCTATAAATTTTTCTGTGGAGAATAAACTTTTTGTTTTCTGCTTTTCTTCTCCTTGGACAGTGGCTTTTAGCACTGAGGAGGTTCCCATTAGAATAAGATGCCCAACATTGCAGGGTATGCTCAAAAAAGAGAACTGTAAATCTATGAAGGAGACCTTGTGGAGAGAAAAACCGCCAAGACACAAGACAGCTCCCATTGTTCATTTTTGTCTTGTAGACAGTTCTCTTGCTTTTTTCTTTTCTCCTTTTTTTTTTTTTTTTTTTTTTTTTTTTCCTTCTCATGGTTTCCTTTAAAAATAAATCCAATTTATCCTTAGGCAAGTTTCAAAAGAAGTAAGTAAGCTTCTTCCAGAAGTTGCTGCTGTCTTCCCCTCCCCACAACTCTACCACCGGTAGAGAAGAGGCAATAAAATCCTAATGCACTCCAAACTATTTCTGTTTTTGAGACATAGTTGTCTGCACTTACAGTTTCTCAGTTAAAGATAGCTTTTTGTGTGTTTTTCTTCTGTCGTTTCTGCCTTTTAGTCACAAAGTTTATACTGTAATTCTTGAAAGTAAGTACCATAATGCGCTCAATCCCAGTTTGGAATAACGTAGTGTTCTGGAAACTGGTGTTCATTTTACAGCTTCTACCTGTGTGTTTGGAATCCAAAGCTGAAATGAACACCAATGAAAAATGCAGGATTAAAAGTTTTCTTGCTAGAAATTGTAAATTATTAACGAAGACATTTGCATTTATTTATTTGTTTTATGAGAATGTCATTATTGCTGTTTTCATTGCTACTGCAGGAAATGAACTCAAGAAAATGAAGCCTAATAGAGGAAAGGCCTGTGCTGGAGAGAGAGACTATGTGTACACACTCAATGCTGGAAATCAACATTTTGTGCTTACAGTGCCTCTCAAATTTCCTGTGCAAGAGAATATTAGTCATTTGCATGGGCGTCTAATGCTTCTGCACAATCTGCCATGCTTTGTAGAAAATGGTAAGAACTTTTTTTTTAAAATTCATGTCAAGTATCAGTGTCCATAAATGTTTTACAAGATACTTTAAGAAACAAGTACTGAAAAAAAAGTCGTGTTTTTTTTTTTTAATTAAAAACAAGAACAGCAAAACATTTATGGCTGTCAGTACGAGCAAGTATGATGCCCAAATGAAAGCTTTTCAGAAAAACCTTTGTATCCTACTTGATTACTAATACTCCACTGATGTGGTTTTGTTGATGTTCTCTTCTTGTTATAAAAGACCTGAAGCAATCTCTTAATAAGTTTATAGAAGATGAAACTATAAAGGGTTATGATAGAGAAGCTGAAATGGCTCTGGAAGCTGTGAAGTCAGGAGAAGTAGACATAAACCAGCTGGCAGATACTTGGGCTAAAGCTTATAAAGAGGTAAGATTAATATTCGGAACTTGTTTTGTGAGTGTATGTGCACGTATACGCAGATAATCACTTCTGCAAAGGTGCAGAATTACACAAATTCATTTTTACTCATCAATTCTTGTAATTTTTCCCTTTTATTCTGAAGTGATCATGCAAGTTCTTTATCAGGTTTTTCCTGAATTTATGTTATTACTGGCAAAAATTTAGTTGAGCTATAAAATCAAAATAGAAAGGTAAGACAGGTATTTACAGTCAAACAGAAGTAGATGTATGGGTTACAGTGCGTTAGAACCAAATCAGAAGATAGTAAATTGCAAAAATATCAACGAGGACTCCAAAGGAGGAGGTATATGGTTTTCAGCTCATTTTCTGAGTTCACATGAGTACTGTACTCTTAGTTATTTGTTTTGTGTTTAAACTTCAAAAAAGAGGAATGCAGAGGAATTGGAGGAGTCCTAGTGGAGAGAAAAAAGCATGACAGAAACTGCAGCTATTGTGGAAAAGTTTGAGGGCCTAACTTGTTGTGGAAGAGTGAAGAATATTGCAGGAAAATGCTGGAATATATGTCCGTTATAAAGAAAATTGGCAAAACAAAATGTTTGCCTTAATGAACATCCCAACAAAATGAAATTAGCCGAACATTTAAGAAGGATTTTTTTTACTGGGGAGCATAGGGGTGTGATGAAACAATGAGTTTACCCTCTTTTCTCTGAAGAAATGAATAGGTTAGGCAGACTATTCAAAACCTTGTCTCTGTGTGAGGATTAGAATTATATTGTCTTTTGATATTCCTTAATTTATTATTCAATATATCAGCTACATTTGTCAGGTTAAACTGGTATATAAAAATATACAGAGTGTTTCAGTGTAGAAGAGCTTGCTGAATTGACATGTTTGGGTCATTCGTTATTCAGTAAGAATTGCTTTTCTGAAATCATTGTTGATCACATTCTAATTATATCAACAATTGGTTCTCCTTTGTAATAAAACATTTTTCTTTTCATAGCCGATGTTCTGAACCCAATCTAAAATCCATCAAATGATGAAATATTGTACAGATATTATTTTAAGGTACTATAAAATAAAAGTGCTAAATTTTCTTCTTTGCAATGGGTTGGTGGCTGAAAATTGATTATCCCTCTCTGTAATCAAAATGCTTCTGCTGTTGGTTGCTTTCAAAAAGAGAGTATATGGGAAGAGAGAAAATAATAATAGTTAAGCCAGAGTATAGATGACTTAAATTAGGAAAGAGGTAGTTAATGTATGTTGAAGGATGTACATCAGAATGAATGTCCAGTTGGTTTTGTGCCACCATTATAAGACATCTTTATTTTAAATCATTTGGAACCCTTAAGGATGTATCTTTTATAATTTTTAGACAACGTTAGAGTATGCAAAACCTGAAGAAAACAGCTGGGATGAAGATTTTGCAGATGTTTATCATGATCTGATACATTCTCCAGCTTCTGAGACCCTGTTAAACCTGGAACACAATTATTTTGTTAGCATCTCAGAATTAATAAGTGAAAGAGATGTGGAATTGAAAAAACTACAGGAAAGGTATTATTTTTGTTTTATTTTATTGTTATGCCAAATATGGGTGTACACCACCAGATTTATGTTTCTGTCTTTAAGTATGTAATAAATACTTAGCCTATATTACTAGGGTCAGTTATCTTCCATTCTACTTGGTCACTGAGAATTAGAAAAGGTCATCTGAGTAATATAAGGTTTGATGGTGTTGATTCCCATTTGTTCTATTATAAGAACTTAGGATGTCTGGTAAACGAAGTATAAGTACGTACCGTGCTTTGCCCTTGTAATTTAAATGAGAAATTGGAAGTTCCACCAGATGAAAGAAGGAGGAATGGAACTGAATGAACTTCAATTCAGAAACTCTAGAAAGTATGTGAGTGTGTGTGGGATCCCGACTTCCCTAAGATTGTGAAGTTGCAGGTGGCTGCTTTGCCCACAGGGGGGAGAATATGCACTGCGGGATGTTGTAAGTGCTAGATACAAATGCTGGCAATGCTTGTGAAATACCAAAATATTCGAAACAGTATGTTTTAGCATTGTAAGCAGCACTATTTTTGGTTTTAAGCTCCTTTTGTATGATGTATAGCTATTTATGTAGCATTTTGGTTTATTTTTAATGTACCTCGAGAATAAATCTTACATATCTCTAATTTGTGGGTGAAAATTTCCAGTAATGTGTGTAAGCATATATATATATATATATATTTTAAATTATTTTTTTGTGTGTGTGTGTGGATTCTTAGATTGTCTTGATTATTTATAAAGAAGAGAGACCACTTAGTGTTAATAGCAGTAATTGCAAGCAGCTCAACTATGAGTGCAGGTAACCTGTTTACACAGGAGGTGGTTTGGAATTCATGACCATCAACTTAAGTTTGCTATAGTAAATCTATTTATTTCTGAGGACTAGGGTGAATACAAAAGACAAAGTGAAGCCAGGAAATTTGGAAGATGAGGGAGAGATGAGGTATTTGGATGAACAGTGATAGCAGGATCATGTTCATTAGCTCCAGTGCCCATTTTTGAATACAGCAAGAGCTGGAAACTTATCTGGGTATTAAAAATAAGTGTGTTTAGCCTACTTCCTGATGGTTACATGTTTGCATCATTTGTATTTGTGAGGGAGCAAAGCCAAAAGGGTTGAGAAATTTTATTTCAAAACAATGGTTATGTCTGCATTATAGTAGCTAGCTGGGAAATTTTACATATTCTGGACTGTCCAATTAATTTTTATTTGGGAAAAAAAAACAACCAACAAATCAAAACATGATAGCTATTTTAAATTGAAAATATGTATGCTCCTAACCTAAAGTTTTTTTTCTTTTATGTCCAGTGACTTTTCCATTATTTTTGGATAAAATAGTTAACTGAAAAGAGTTAACTAAATAGAGAACTACCCCCCTAAAATTGTTAGAATTAAGTGTCTGACTCCGAAGTAGCTACTATAAAATGCACTTAATTCACTGTACTGTAGTACAGTCCTCATTGGATTTTTTCAATATGGGTCATGCTTGTCTTCTGGATCCCCTGCCCTTGTGTAAAGTGTTGTTTCTGCTGATAAGTCTTGCAGATTTTTCTGTGTCCTGGTAGAACAGTAGAAAAGAAGCACTACAATTGAATTTCAGCAGTTAGTTCAGACCACGTATTAGTAAAAACCTTCCTAATGATAAGGATAGTAAAGTGATCCAGATATTAGTATGGAAAAACTGGACATATGTACAAGCAGACTTGAAATGTGTGGATTCTGATTCCAAAACAAGCAGGTAGTTAAAGTACTACATGACATATCTTTCAGCTATGTTGAGTTTTATGTAAAGTCATAGAATGGTTTGGGTTGGAAGGGACCTTATGTATCATCTAGTTCCCCCGACAGTGACCAGGTGCACCTTCCAGTGCACTGGACTGCTTAAAGTCCCATCCAGCCTGACCTTAAATACTTCCATAGTGGAGACTTCCACACCTTCTCTAGGTAAACTGTTCCAAAGCTTCACCATGCTTGTAGTAAAGAATTTATTCCTTAAATCTCAATCTACACTTGTAAAACCTTTACCTCTTTTTCTGTCTCTCTATTCCCTGTTCAGGAGTCTTTCTCCATATTTCTTGCAGATCCTTTTAAGTACTAGCAGACCCCTATAAGGTCTCTGTAAGGTCATCTCTTCTCAAGGCTGAAAAACCCCATCTCTCATAGTCTCCTTGAAGGAGGACAGGTGCTCCACCCCTCTGACTGTTTTTGAGTTCTAGCAGGTCTGTGTCCTCCTCATGCTGCAGGCTGAATGCAGTACTGCAGGTGGGATCTCATGAGAGCAGAATAGACGGAGTGGATCACCTCCCTTAACCCACTAGCTACTCATCTTTTGTTGCAGGATACAATTGACTTTTTGGGCTGCCAGTGCGTAATACCAGCTTATTTTTGTTTCCACTGATACCCTCAATTCCTTCTCCACAGGGCTGCTCTCAGTACAGTCACATTGCTCAGCCTGTGCTTACGTTTGGGATTGCCCTGACGACCTTAGGCCTGTGTGATTAGCACTGATTACCTGACTGATAGAACTGATCAGTGACAGTATCAACAACAGTGCTTGTTCCTCTGCTAGTTTATTGAAAGTGTTACTTGTTATAAATCTGCATTTGCTTCCCTTTCAGACAAGGAGCAGAAATGGATAAGGTGATGCAGGAACTAGGGAAATCTCTAACAGACCAAGATGTAAATTCATTAGCAGCTCGGCATTTTGAATCTCAGCAGGTAAACTAAGTTCAGCAAATTGTAAAACATCACGTATATATTTGCATTAAAAAGAAAACTAAAAACATTCAAATAACTGTCTTCTTGTTAGGATTTAGAGAACAAATGGACCAATGAATTAAAACAATCTACTGCTATCCAGAAGCAGGAGTATCAGGAATGGGTGATAAAACTTCATCAGGATCTGAAGAATCCCAACAACAGCTCAATCAGGTATTTAATTCCCCTGTGGCAGTTCACTCAGGCTGTGTTGAGTTCTGAGAACTGTAGGTCCCTAGTGCATGTGGAAGTAATGAGTAGGATGTCTATAATAGGGCAACTAGAAGCTTGGAGGTAGAAAGATAGTTGCTTATGTATGCATATACTTATACATGGATCTTTCAGAAAATAATATCTCTTGTTTATTTCCACGGGAGCAGCATACACATGAAGTTATATTTGATAGAATGAATTCTCACCTACAAAAAAAACTCCTGTTTTTCAGAAGTCACCGTCATTGCTGTGCATTTTTGCCACTGATGAACAAAAGTATGCATGCCACTTTTGTAAAAATCTGCACCAGTGGGGGTGACATGCTGCTGCTGTCACCACTGTTGAAACATAATGTGTACTGCCTCATTGTGCTAATGTCCACTGCTTAGTCTCCATAAACTTTCAGTAAGCAGCAATGAATGTCAACAGGTGCATTTTTTTCCACATGGAGGATGACATGCTTCTTCATACACACTTCCATGTCAGGCACCATTTAGACTGCCCCTCTGCTGCCATCTGTTGCATCACTTTTGCATCATTTTGTCGTTCAGTCTCAAAATATTTTACAAAGAAAACTGATAATATAAATCTAATAGTGAAGCTTTCTTTTCCTGCTGACAAGCAGATGACTTCATTGCAGCATGATAGGAGTGCAGGTCTTCAGATGTGAAGAGTTCATTCAAAAGAAGTTTAGTATCTTGATTTCCACAGGCTGAGAAATTTTTTTATAGCATTTGTGAAATATTGTTGGTGTACAGCAGCTAGTATAAACTTCTCAGTAGGTTTCTTATTATTTTAGCGATGAAATTAAGGTTCAGCCCAGTCAATTGAGAGAATCTGTAGAAGGAAATGGGAGAATTTACGAAGAGCAAAGACTTTTAGAAGAAAGTTTTACTATTCACTTGGGTAAGTAAAACAAACTGACAGCAAAGCCAAAACATAATAACAGACTAGAGAATTATACGTGTATGTCTTATTTACAGTATTTAATTGTCAATGTATTGTATACAGATTGGGATTGTTTTGTATTTGTTGTTTGCATACGTAAGAGAAAGGCAGTACATCATAAACCATATTAAATAGTGTCTAGCTGTCTGAAAAATACTTAATGGAAAACATTCTGAAAGCAAATTTTTATACACTCTGCTAAAGTGAATAGTTTAAAGAAAAAGTATGGTGACATCAAAGCACATAACAATTAAAAATATGAGTGTTGATTCAATTCCTAGAATAATAGGTGTTTGATTTAAAAAAAAAAATAAAATTATTTTATTATTGCTTGTGCATTGAAGGTTTTTAAGCTGTTTGTTGTAACTGCTCCCAGATAGTTTTCATTTCTAGCTTTATCACAGGGAACAAGTCTCATTTCAGGTATAAATATGCCTTTTTGGTTACAATATTGCATTTTTATTTTTAAAATTGCTGATATGCATATAAGATCATGCATTTGATTAAGAACTTTGTGTATGATTGTTTATGTTTCTCTTATGGGTCTTTCTCACAAAAATTAGGTGGAAATTTTGGTTCATTGCATTTTGATAACAATCCTGAGTTTCATCCTTTACTGTTTGTATTAAAATTGTTTGTATTCCATACAGGAGCTCAGTTGAAGACCATGCATAATTTGAGATTACTGAGGGCTGATATGCTGGATTTCTGTAAACACAAACGTAATCATCGAAATGGAGTAAAGCTTCACAGACTTCAAACTGCAATGTCTCTCTATTCAACATCTCTCTGTGGCCTCGTTTTATTGGTAGATAACCGTATCAGTTCGTACAGCGGCATCAAAAGAGGTGAGTCCTCTAATGGAGTGCAACATGCCATTAAAAGTCAATGTGACTCTTGAAAGACTTGCTGTCTTCTCCCACTAAAAGTGCAGTCAAATTAATTTGCTAGAGAACCGAGTGTTTTGTGTGTGGTACTACAAAAGAGTAACAAGTGGAAAAGCAGTATAGGACACAGTTTTGCTGAGTAGCTTGAACTCTGATATGCTGTTAACTCCTTCATCTCTGTCCTAGGTTTTGCTTTTTAGTTAGGAGGATGTTAGAGTAGAATCATTAATGTTGATTTGCCTGCTGTAGATTGGCTAACGATCAGTAGGGTCTTCTAACTCTCTTATGTCAACTTATCGTACCAAAACATATTTGCAAATACAACAGTTAAATAGTTCTAAAATTGGTGAGTAAATGTGATAAAATGCCATGTGCTTTAAATATTTCCAGTACCATAAATTCCATTAAAAAGGAACAATAGGAGTATTATTTGCCTGCTCTTGGAAAGCTTGATTAATAGCCATTTTAAGTGCACCAATAATAGGTGATGATGAATGTTTGAAAGCAAATGAATTAAACACTTGTTTGTTCTTGTTACAGTTTTGATTGCTCAAGCATTCTGTGAACCATATTATAGACTTTCCCATCTCCTTGAAGTTTAAAACCAAAAAATTTATATTTGAAACATCTTTTTACTTGTAGCCAGTATTAATTTTGTGCTAGTGGTGGCAATGGTGATGAGGAGATGGTTGGACTAGATGATCTTATAGGTCGTTTCCAACCTTGTGATTCTATGATTCTAATTGTCATTTTTCTAGCATGTCTGTTCTTGAGAAAAGGGAGGGAGGAAAAAAGTAGGCTTTCATACAAACTGAAAACACTGTGGAATCAAAAAAATAGAAGAGGAAAGTGTGCCCATAAAAATACCAGATGGATTTGTTCTGTATATGATTTCCAAATTGCTTAATTCTCATAGTATTATTTCATGCTTGCTCTTGTTTTCCCTTAGTTTTTTTTATTGTTATTATTAGTCCTTACATATTTAAATTATTAACAAATTGCAAAAATTTGTTTTGTCATAAATCTTGGGTGATCAAGAGAATATCAGCATTTAAATAATGCCACTAATTACAAAATTAGGTACTGCAGCCTTAGCAGAGAAGAAAGGAGGAGAAAGTAAGGGGCTGCCAAGCAATCTATGAAATATAATGCTTAGTATGTTTTGATTTCGTTTAGATCCAAAGGAACTTTGGCAAAGTTAACTTTAAGCAATTTCCATAGCTTTCGCACTACCATTCTTTTAAAAAATGTTGCGGAAATGAATGTTTCATGTCTCTGTTCCTCTAATCTAGTCAAATATATTGCTTTAAATCAATAACGAGCATCTGGTTATGCTAAGACCCCAAACAACTTGAGGCAGCAACTGATGCTTGGCCACATCTCTTTATATGCTCTGTGATTATTACTGATTGAAGATCAGTGATAAGCACATTTGAGAAGAAACTTTCCTTTTAAACTATTAAATTGTTTGTTACAAGAGCACTACTCTGATAACATTCTCCTTACTAGAAGGCCTGTTAAGAAATAAATGTACTGGGAGGTTTGAAGGTTCACGATGTGGGCAAAAATGCTATATAGAAGGCCTTTACATAGTACATTGATGCTGTTTAAATAGAAAGGTAGTGGTGTATGTACATTACATTTCTGGGTTACAAAAGTGTATCAATGGTTTTCTGCTTCTATTTTAAACCAGAAGATCACAAATCTAATAGCTTTTGGTTTTGATGGGCTATAATGACTCAAATCTCTGTGTGATTAGAAAAGGATGGTATTATTCTTATTACACGTGGAAAACTGATCTTTCACTATGTTGATATCATTCAGCTTTTTGTTGTAAGGAGTAGTAGTTGTCTCTTTACTTACTCGGTATCTGTGGTGCAAACCTCTTACATTAGGAATCTGTAGGGCTTCTGTGACTCAGATTTAAGTGCGTATAGCACACTCAATCAGTGGACTACAATTAACTTCAGCTTAAGTATGAGAGACTTTCTGTTGTTGTTGTTTCAGTCCTAGCGTTATTTTATTTTGATGCACCCAGAAAATAATCTTTTGGAATATGAGCTGTTTCTTCCTATGATCTTGGACACCAGAATTTAGTAAAGCATTTCAAATACACTTTATGTTGGAGACAGTACATAAGGTATATTAAGATTTTCTTTATATCTTGCCAATTCCTGTCACAGCTCTTCATGGGAATATATGGAGCTCCTTAGATAATCAAAGTGTATTACGTACTTAAAGAAGATTGGAGCAGGTACCTCAAAAAAGGAAGCAAGTCAAAGTTGTTTAGCTGAGCTTCTTGCTGATAGCTTTTTCTGGCAGTCATTAACTTGTTTGGAGAAAAGGCTAGAAACTAGGATTTGTAGCTTAGATTACCATTTACAGGGGCAGTATGTGATGAACCTAATTATTAATTTAATTTTTCTAAGTCTGACATCAGACTTTCTTATTGGGAGAAAGGATTTGCAGCTCTTCTCAGCTGGTGGTATTCTTTAGCTTTCAGAGAGCTGAAAATATTCCCAAAATAGTTTTGGGAACAGAAGAGGAACAGTATTTCCAAATTTCCAGATGAACTGTTTATGAATTTAATTAACAGCAGTCATTTTACAAAACAAAATGGAGAGCAGTAGTTGCTGTTGGAGGGATCTCTGTGCATGTTTTAATAAAGCATCGCGGATTGAAGGGTTGTTTTTAAAGCACAGTAAAACATATGTTGCTGCTATTATTTTTGGATTTTTTATATAAATGATTTTATTTGAACAGTAAGAGTGTTGTTTTTTGAAGTAATTCTTTTGTTTCAAAAGCTTTGTTTTTTGTTGGTGATATTGTTTTGGTCTGGGTTTATTTTTCATTTTTTATTTATCATTGTAACTAGCATTGCTTGAACACTAGAAATGAGTTATGTAATGTTACTTAGCATAGCCCTGTGACATTGATTTAAATCTTTTATTTTCCTAGATTTTGCAACTGTTTGCCAAGAATGCACAGATTTTCATTTTCCTGGAATTCAAGAACAACTTGAAATTGTCCAGAAGGTTGTACTTAAGGCCAGAGCACAGCGTAGCAATAAGTCAAAAAAGCATCACGGTCAGTGACAACCAAAATTACTTTCTTTACTACTCTATAATAGTCCTCAGTGGAATATTTGTGGTTATGGGCACCTTAGTTTTTCTCTTATTCTGTTAGATTATCTATAAAATGTAATATTCTGGTTTATAAGTTAAGAAATCTTTGTGGAATTTTGTCTTAACAGACTGCGTGCCTATGTGGTCCATGAGATGTTTTTGATGTCATTACATACACACCTTTAAAAAAAAAAAAGAAAGTCACTAGGTTCTAATCATACCTGTGATCAGCCTAACATCACAATCCATATGCAAAGTGTGTAGGATCATTATGTTTTCCTCTGCAATTTAAACTGCCTATGACAATATGGAATTTATTTCCATAAATAACTTAACTCTTTTTCTTTCTGTGTAAATGAAAAGCTTTAAAAATTGTAAAATACATGCTTTGACTTTTTCCCCTCGTCATAAATGAGTGCTAAAACTGAACAGTACATCCACTGAATTTGTATTCTCTTTAATGCTGACTAAATCCTTAATAATGGTTTACTTTGCAGTTATATTTACAAATGGCAGAGAAATCATCTGAGTACAAGCACTGCTTTAACAACATGTACATCATGAAATTTTGTTTTTTTTGCAGACAACTACTTGTATGGCTAAATACATCAGTAATGTGAATAGATTCGTAAGAGTACAAGTAGAGAAACAAGTTCTCTTAGAGACCTGCATATTGCTGTAGCCTAAGGAAAATACTGAAAGCTGTTTTTATAGTGATGATTCATGCAAGTTTCTGTTAAAATTTTATTTTTTAGTATTAAGAACAAATTTTTTAAAAATAGATGCGTAATTAAAAAGCAACAGCAAGGTACTATGTAGTTGTGGGGTTAACTTTGAGTGTTATGTTTGAGAACATTTCTTTTTGTCTGAATAGGGTGATTGAGGAAGAAAGCTAATGATTTGTTTCAGGATTCAGTTCAGCATTTATTGAAGCCAGTGAGAGCACTTCCTGTTTGTCCCCCAACTTTTTCTAACTTTATGGTGAAAATTTAAGCTAGACATCAGCTCAATACATTTTATATGCTAAAGCAGGTAATACATTAATACATGATATATTTAATGTTTGTGTTATTTATTTATATACAGGAAGCAAAGATAGTGGAATTGAAGATAAATCCAAGAATATTGAACGTAACCAGTCAAATATTTTACAAGGTGAGTTCCATTGCATTTCCCCTCTCTTCTTACAGCAAATTGTGTTTTATAGATGCACATTTTTAGCTCTAAACTCAGAACATAAATTATAAACTAAACCTGAGTTGACCTCAATCAAAGGAGAAGGACGTTCTTGTGGCTAAGGCAGAGAACTGGGTGTCAGGACATCTGGTTTCTATTCCCAGCTTTGCTACCACATCATATGACGTTGGGGCAAATCACTTAACTTCTCTATGCTTAAAATTTGTTTTCAGAATTTGAGGGGAGAAAAGGCTATCTCTGAGGATCCTGGAAAAAGATGGAGCTTAAATACTAGCAAATTATTTTCTTTCAGGTACAGTAAAGCATTTTAGAAGGTATTTGATTTTTGATCTTTGAATTTAAGAATTCATTCCTCTGAAAGAGGAAATAGATTTCTAATATATTGTGCTTTTAATAAAGAAGGCTGCAGAGTAGCTTGAAGAAAAATGCACAGTTGAGAGGAAAGGAGATAAATCTACCGTAACCCATAGGTGAATATGAGGGCTTGTTAAAATTGCTTTCATGGTTGTTTTAGGTCTTGTTAGTGGATTATAAATCCACTCTGGATCCTTAACAGATATATCCTGGTAAAATCTTGCTGCAGTGACTTGTATATCATTATTCTTAGATGGTCACTGCTGGGGATTACTTCCTCGTTGGCTCTCAGCAAGGACTATATACCCATTCTCCAGTATCCCGATGCAGTCTTGACTTGCCAGTGAAAGTAGGTTTAAAGAAAGATGCTTATCTGTTGACTGAAACAGTAGGGCTATCACATACCTACTTCTCTGTTGACTCCACTTTAGACATTTTGCTCTCCAACAGAAGGTAACATGAAGAAACCTGAATTTATCTGCCTCTTGCTGCTTGTGTTTGATAAATGAAAACTGATTTGAAAAATTTCCCTCAAGGTGTCTTCTCAAAACCAACTCTGTAACTCATCTTCCCATTGCTGCAAATTATTTTAAATTCTAATAACCACTGATGCTTTTGCATTCTAGTATGTATCATGTATGTAATATAACCAATTACCCTTTTTCCATAGACTTTTTGTATCCTTTATTTTAACCCATCCATTTTTGGTATTTCCGCCTCCCACATCTGTCTGCAATTCAGTGCTTACATAATATATTTTGAGTATTATACCTCCTCTGTGTTTGTTTTTCTGTTTCATACTATATTTAAATCATATCCGCCTGTACTGGCACTATTACATCTTACTACACCGGGTGTCTGTGATGCTAGTGAAATTCATTAAAGCAGGAAATTGAGTGCTGGATGAACGTAAAACAGCGATACTCCGTGATTTTAGACCAGTTCATTTCTTTTATTTCTCTCCTTATGTGTGTGTTCTGATCTGTGTTGTCTACTGGTATTGGCTTTTTGCCTTAACTAGCTGACTCTACTCCTACATTGCATAATAAGTATGTTTCAGTATAGGTCACTGCCATGATACTCTGCCTTTTTATTATATGTTATTCTGCAGGAGAATTCTACATCACTCGCCATTCAAATCTTTCTGAAATTCATGTTGCGTTTCATCTTTGTGTGGATGATAATGTAAGATCTGGAAACATAACTGCTCGGGATCCTGCAATCATGGGACTTAGAAACATTCTCAAAGTTTGCTGCACACATGACATTACTACCATTAGTATTCCTCTCTTGTTGGTACATGATATGTCAGAAGTAAGTAAATTTGTTCTCTTTTTGGCTTCTAGAGTGCAGTTGTTTGCAGTTTTTTGTTTTTTTTAAAGGCACATTTCATGCTGTTTGACACAGACGAGGAAGTTTATCCCAGTCTCCTGCCACATCGTTGTAATAGCACAAGTATCTATATGGTGACCAGAGTTAAGGAACTGAAGCAGTTAAAAGCATTTTGGTTTGCTGAACTTCTTTGTTTTTAATCCCACCCCTTCTTGATCCAGCTCATTGCAAGGCTGCACAGGTATTAACGAGAGAAGTAATGGCACGTGTTTGGCAACACTTATTGCTTAGAAATTGCAAGATACATTGGTTATATCAGATCCCAATTTTAATTGTCATCAAGAAAATCTTAAAACTAAGTTTTTTAGGAACAGTAGAACTAGCTTGGTTTTTAAAGAATTTTTAATTCTGTATCCCTAAACACCATTCTTTATCACCTCAGCCCTATGCAGCAGTAACCAGATTTCACCTCTGCCCTGATTGGTCACCTTCTTCATGCCTAATCATCTATACCTTCAATTTCTGCCCTTGTTTACCTTTTGTGTTCCCGCTGTGTACCACCTGGTCAAGAAGCAGCATACTGCAAGATACTGTTGATAAACACGTGATTCATATACTGAACTTCCGTATTCTTTCCTCCATGGGACACTAATTCATAGAACTTGTCTCTCACGTGTTTTTTCACAGTGTATAAATTATAGTTTAATACCATTGGCAGTTTCTTTTCTCTGATTCAAAAGATGCTGGCAGGAAAGGAAATGGAGGTGGGGACAGAACTAGCAGACAGGCAGTACAGCTACATGCCACACTTCCTTATGTTTAAGGAAGTTTAGAAAAGTTAAGTTTAGAAACTTAAAGGAATGAGAAAAAAAGATAATGGTGCCGTTACTGTTACCCTTGTATATGTATAATTATCATTGTTTTGGGTTTTTTTGAATAACCTTACAAATGTTAAGACTGCCATTCCTTCCGTAAAAGTGCTTGACTCGTAGCAAGAGAAAGGCTCACCTTTGGATTGTTTTCAACAGATGGAATAGCTGATTTCTTTATTTTTTTTTAACAAAATTTGATCTGAACATATACAAAACTGAGATACCTTTTGCAAGATTTGTGAAAGTTCAAGCAATGCAAAAGTTAAAAATATCCAATAGTGAAAATTCTAAAGGATATGCTTCTATATACATGTTAACTCTTAGTAACAGATAATATTATATCAGAAATACACTTCTGCATCTTTGTATTAGTGTCCTTTTTAGGGGTAGCTGCCTGAGTTATTACTGGGACACAGTTACTGCATTTCAGAAATGTGTAGACATTTATTTCTTAATCAAGTCACCGTGTGACTCTATTCATCTTTTTCTTTCTTCAATTGTGCTATTTTTACCTTGCTTTATATGTATGTATTTTAAAATACAAACAGAACACAAGACCATGTGTTTGCTGTGCTTTCAGAAAGTGTTATTGCTGAATGTGTGAAACTGAAGAATTATCTATTTGTGTGGCATTGGATTATCAAAAGGTTTTGGTAAAACACTTTACCTTTGATATTAAACTTTTTAAGTACTTATGAATTAAGCAGAAAGTGGCCTGTATGGTAAAGCATGTGTTAAGCCCAGACTGAACTGAATGAACTGTGTTAGCAGCATATACCCTATTACAGTGCTTTGTAGATGACTGAATTTGAAACTCACAAATCTGTGACTTGTTGTTGAGTGAATAACAGGTCTCTGAAGGTTAACGTGAACTTGGTGCCTTCAGCAGCTCCAGTTTTGAATCCACATTTAACACCTACATTTAAAAAAAAAAAAAAAAAAAAAAAAAAATTTTTGTAAAGTGGTTAACCAAGAGCACAGCTGTAGAGATATGTGCCACCTTCTCTGTGACAGACATTCATCACGAGTTTGCTTTGTGTGTTTCCGAAAGGTTTTCTTTTATGGCTGGTTGAGTAGATGAGTAATGTTTATAACATCACGGAAGTAAGGAGTGTATCACATTTCACTATTATTGGGACTTTGTAAAAAGCTACTCTTTTTTTTTTTTTTTTTGTAAGAAAAAGATAAGGTTATGGTTTCTTTAATTTTTCTTTAATTTTTCTTTAATTTTTCTTTAAAAAAAGAAAAATTTTTCTTTAATTTTTCTTTAATTTTTCTTTTAATTTTTCTTATGTCTAGAATAGCAAGAAATTCAAGATTGTTTTTTTTTCTTTTCTGTTCTGGTCACTAATTTTAACAAAGGAAGGAAACTGAGTTTAATATCTGGGGAAGACGAGATCAAATTTAGGACAGCAGAGGTATTAATGTCTGATAATTGCACTGAAATTAATGTAAACCGAATTGAGGAATTAAATGGTTCTAATGACATGGCTAGAGCTGGCATAGCTCCTTGGTAGTTTCAACATGCAGGCCATTTTATGCTGCCATCAGTATAGAAACACAGAAGAAAACAGGACACTTCAGGGCTGTTGGGCAGCTGTCTGTTGGGCAGCTGTCTGTCGTGCATGTGCCGGATAACCAGGGGATCAGGGCTAGTCACGAAAGGTAGGTCCTGCTTGACCAACCTGATCTTCTATGATTCGGTGACCTTCACCTCTGCGTGCAGTCTACATATGCTTCAGTCAAGCCTTTGATACTGTCTCTCACAGCATTCTTCTGAAGAAGCTGGCAGCTCATGGCTTAGACAGATACACTCTTCACTGCATAAAAAGCTGCTTGGATGGCTGGGTCCAGGAATAGACTTAAATCCAGCTGTCAACAGGTCAGTGCTGGGGCCAGTCCTGCTTAATATTTTTATTGATGATCTGGACAAAGGGATTGAGTGCAGCCTTAATAATTCTGCAAATGACACCAAGCTGGGAGTAAGTGTTAATCTGTTTGAGGTCAGGAAGGCCCTACAGGAGGATCTGGATAGGATGGATCAGTGAGCTGAGGCTCAACTGTATGAGGTTCAACAAGACCACTTCCTGGATCCTGCCTTTTGGTCACAACAAGCCCCATGCAAAAGGCTTGGGGCTGCAAAGCTGCATGGTGGAAAAGTGTATGCGGGTGCTGTTTATCAGCTGACTGAACATGAGCCAGCAGCATGCCAAGGTGACCAAGGAGGCCAACCTGGCTTGTGTTAGAAACAGTGTAGTCAGCAGGACTAGGGAGGTCATCGCCCCTCTGTACTCAGTACTGGTTCAGCGTTCAGTTTTGGGGACCCTCACTACAAGAAAGACCGTGGACTGTATCCAAAGAAGGGCAGTGAAGCTGTTGAAGCCTCTGGAGCACAAGTCTTAACAGGAGAGACTGAGGGAACTGGAATTGTTCACTGTGGAATAGAGGAAGCTCAGGGAAGACTTTCTCATCATTCTTTACACTTGCCTGAAAGAAAGCTGTCGTGAGCTGGGAATTTGTTTTCTTCCAGGTAACTTGCAACGGGATGAGAGGTAATGGCCTCATGTTGCACCAGTTGGGTATTTGGAAAAAATTTCTTCTCAGAAAGAGTCGTGAGGTATTGAAACAGGCTGTCCAGAGATGTGGTGGAGTGGCTTAGTAAGCACGGTTGTGATGAATTGACAATTGGACTTAATGACCTTAAAGATCTTTTCTAACTTCAATGATTCTATGAGTTAAGACAAAAGCGTTTGGTTTTTTTCTTTTTTTGTTTGTTTTTAAGTAAAAATAAAAGGCAAATAGGCTGTGTAGCAAGTATTTGTGAACAGTAATTTTTACATGTAGAGCAGATTATCGAACCCCTGGGCTGCATACAGCCCTGGACAGCTGGTAATGCAGTCCAACAAGATCATAAACTTTAACATTACTGTGAGTTTTAGTGATATTTTTAAACAGCTGATTGCACTTCTCTTGAGCACAGACTGTGTAGATGACAATGAAATGTTGTGGAGAGTGCAGTGCAGGGCTAGCTCTGCTTCTTGTGCCTGCTGCACAGTGTCAATTAAATTTCAGTTTAATTGAGCCAGATGTGTTACACATTAGATGCACATGTGCCACTTGGCAAATAAAGTGCAGTGATTACTAGTAGTAATATTTTGTCCTGGTTTCAGCTGAGAGAGTGTGAATAGCACACCAGTGTTTTGAATGTTGCTGGTTGACAAGGCCATGATTGGGACCAGGCCAGGCTGCTTGGCAAAAGATCTACTGCTGAATTAGGCAAGGGTTTATTCCCTACCACGTGACACCATGCAGAAGGCTATAAAGCTGTGGAGAGTTGACCGGGGCCAGTTGCTGCTTGGGGATTAGCTGGACTCCATTTGATGGGTAGTAACTAATTGCTTTGTGGATTTACAAATATTTCTTTGTATATGCATACACACAGAGAGATACATGTATAACTATCATCACATTTTTGTTCCTACTTTCCTTCTGTTTAGTCTTAGTAAATAGTTTTTATTTCAACACAGGAGTTCTATTTTGATCCCATCTCTCCTCCCATTTCACTAATGGGAGCAAGGGTGGAGGGGAGTGGAATGAGTGAACAGCTGTGTGGTGTTTAGTTGCCTTCTGTGTTAAACTACAACGTATTTCAGCTTACCTACATGTGTATGCCTGTGAAGATGCATGTCCTTTATTATTAAGTGGGCATGTAAGTTTTCTTATTTAATTATTAAAATTGGGCTTGTGTTATTTCATAAAATAATTTACTGTGTAAATGTGATTGCTGGAGAAGAAATATCCAGAATACTTGTGCAGTGCTAACAAACTTTGTAATTTTCAACATCTCCAAGAGCTCACAAACAATATAATTTGCAGTATGTTTTCAATAAACCATACGGTTTGTATTTGATTAATGTTTTTGTAATGTTTGCCTAAACAAATATGTCATTTTACTAATTCAGCCATGCTAAAAGCAAGTTTACAGAGAATGTGTGTAATACTTACATTTATGCACATTTCTCAGAAACTATAAATTCACTAAGTTGCGTATTAAACGGCAACTTCTTTTTTTATGTGAAAGTAGCACAGTAAGTTAAATGTTTTATGATAAGATCTAAAAGAAATGAAATTACAAGAAAAAAAAGCATAAAATTAAAAATGTCAGAGTTGATATATATTAAAAAAAATTGTTGCTTCTATACATTAACTATATTATATATTGTATATGTGGCCTAAGACAGTTCCTCTTAGTTCATTGTGCCTCAGGCAAGCCAAAAGGTTGGACAACTCTGAGACAGATTATCAGTGTGTGTATTAACCTTTAATTTTTTACCTCTTACAGTTTCCCACCTTGAAGTGTATAGCTGCTCATACAGTGTGAAGGTTTTGTGTATTGCAAGTAAACACCTTGCTAATTCACCACATTAATTAATTAACCATTGAAAAAGGATCTGAAAGCTTTGTTCCACAAGAAGTTTCTGGAATTTAGTGTTTTCATTACTTGGTTATGACATGGCTTTCTGCAGAAACTTAAATGTGCTCATAAATTTAAAAAAGCGGTAATCACATGGGAAGAGTCTGTTGATGCAGCTTTGCAGCATGTATTTCTAATCAATGAAGTTGACCTTTTTTATTTTTACCAACAGAAGTGATGTTAATCTGATAACAGATCTTTTCATCTTAAAACGGAGTGGTGTGTGGTCTCAAACAGCAAACCAAAACCCCCGGGCATTTTTTTTTACTTGCTGGAATGTTACTAATGAAAGCTCATCAAAAGTGATGGTTTTTTTTATGTTTTCCTATCCTTTGTGCTGTGCTGTGAATTAGTACCCGCTCAATCCTTTGTTTTCACTGCTGTTAATTTACATATAGAGAAAAATTCTAACATGCCAAAATTACAAGAACGTGTTTTTAAAGGTGGATTGAAATTGAATCACTACTGTGTCATTGTCTGTTCTTGTGGCTTGCATACTGTGACGTTCTAGGTTCAACCTATTATTTCCCTGAGTGCCCACAAGATTTAGCATCTATGTTCCTCTGAAATAGTCCAAGGAATAGTGTCATATCCTGCTGCCTCAATCGGTCCTTTTTAGGCCAGGTCCTTTTATTGATTACATAATGTACTTCTGAATTGCTCTTAGAGTAACTGAACCTTTCTTTTTAGACATTTGTTCTTAAACCAAGCCAAAACAGTGATCAAAACTAGCAGTAAACACCTACATTGCTTGTGACAGAAAGCAAACATAGGCAGTTAATTTGTAACAAAGGCCAACTATTTTTTCCATAAAGATTAGAAATGAAAATAGTATTGTCTGCATTGTTCTGTTTGATTCATGTGCTGTATAACCTAAAAGCAGCACTTTGAGATGCAGAGGTTTATGTGATTAAGACATATAGAGAGAGAGATTTAGTTGTAGAGCACATCTGAACAAATTGATCTTATTTATTATGGACATCATTTTCTCTGAGAAGTTCTGACTCTTTACTGTGGCGGCCTTTCTGCCTCTAACTAGGAAAATTCATCTTAGTATAATTCATGTTATGGTTTACAGGAAAAGAATGTTGTATATAGTAAAACTGTTTCTTAAATGATTTAGACTGGTGCACGTGGCCACACATTACAGTAACTTTTATCAGTGGGGCTTTCATATCCTATCTTGTTGGTTAACTTGACGTAAGAAATTGCTGTCTGATTAAATCTGAAAATCATCAGATGAAGTTAGCTTTTTTTTGTTCAGAAAAATCACCTTTAGGAGAGGAGGTTTTTACATGAGGTATGTGGGTATGCCAATAAGCCTAAATCAGAATCATCAGGAATACCTGGTAACCATCAGTTACTGCTGTTAAGCTGTGGTCAGGAGCCTGTTTTTTGCTACCTGAACCACAAATCTGACAGTCACAATTTTCATTTCTGATGTATATATACTGCTAGAATACCTGATGGGAAAATATGCTTTTATGGCAATTTATTATTTTAAAGAATTTCCTTGCTGCTGTTGTTGGTTGATCCATTTGTGTTGAGCCTTTTCATTATTCATTTAATTTTAGGAAATGACCATTCCATGGTGCTTAAAGAGGGCAGAACTTGTGTTCAAATGTGTCAAAGGTATGTTAGTGAATGCTGCAGCTCACTTCTAGAGTTGAATTTGGTGATTTTAGCTCAAGCTGTATATTTCCCACTGCTCCAAAAAAGTTGTTTCAGTAACTTATTGTTTCTTAAAATACTGGTATTTTTTCTTTGAGATTATTAACTACCATGTTACTCTTGGGCTATTTTAAGCATCAGGAAATAATCTCACACTTAGAATGAAGACTGAAAATGTTTTGAAAATATTTTTATGAGTTGCACTTAGTGAAAGAAAAACTCCTTACTGCTTTTGAGCAATCTCTGAAGGAAGGCAGGAACTGACAGTTGTCAATATACTTTCCAGTGTCTTATCTATGTTAATTTCCTCAAACAATGTAAACTCCACACTCTTTTTTTAAAGCTAGTTTATGTGCTAACTCATCTCTTTGCTGGAAAGTCATCAGATTTAGCATTTATTTCCTATCTATTCCAATTGTATTATTACTTATTGCATTCTTGTGTCCCGTGCTTAAATACTTACAGCAAGCAATCATTTAGAGCATTTAAAGTGTAAGTAGTGTAGTGTTCTCTCTACTACATACTTTAGGAACTTTGTGCTGTTGTGACCTTTAGTGATTCACAATGGAGTATCCATGTAATCACTTTCATTATATAGTATTTTTCCAAATCCAATCCTTAACTGTCAGCAATGTATTCCTGTGGACCTTATAGTTCATCAGTTACAGTTAAGAAATGCTAGCGTAAAATCAAAATCTTAAGTTGAGCAATAAACACCACGTTCTTTCTTTGTAAGTTAGTTCAGGCATGTTTGTCTTTCCAAATAGTGAATATATATAAGCTTTGAAAAAGATATTATTGGCTCTTATTTTCTCTGATGAAATGAACTTTACATTGTATAATGTTAGACTTCTGTTGAGCATACAGTTGATCGTAACTGATCTAAAGGAAAGAGTTATTTCTAAAGTGAAAGCAAGCTATTGGAAGAACACATAGCAGTCGTGTCTGGAGAAACCTCTCACTTCTGCTGATAAACACTGTTTCTGTACTGTAAGTGGTTTTTTTTTTGCTCTTCAACAAATTTTCTGATCAATTCTTCGTTAGATTTTCCAGTTAAATAAGGTTTCAAAGTAGATTAGCCAGGTCAGATATGAATATGAATAACAATGACAATAGTAAAGGCAGTTAAAATCCTAACTGCATATGAAAACTTCCTAACCTCCTCATTGCTAGATAAGAGTGTAATTAAGAGGGAAGCATGTATAAGTAATCCATTATGAATTATGTATTATGAATATTGGATTTTAGGTTTCATGATGGAAATGGCCTCATGGGATGGAGGAATTTCTCGGACTGTACAATTCTTGGTACCACAGGTGGGTTAAACAAGTTTCAATAGTCCCCTGGGTTAGATACAAACAAGAAGTTAAATGTCAGTATACTTAGGTTTGATTTCTTTGCTGTGTCCTGTTTGTTTGTTTTTTGCTGTGTTTGTTTGAGTTTAAACTAGTCCATTGTTGTTTTGATTCCTTGCTTACAAAATAGGAATAAAAGGGTTTTATATTTTGGGGTATCCTTTAGAATATCCTGGGAGTACTAAAAATTCAAACTGGGAAATTTGTTTTTCCAAATAGTGAATATATATAAACTTTGAAAAAGATATCATTTGCTCTTATTTTCTCTGATGAGATGAACCTTGCATTATATAATGTTAGGCTTTTGTTAGTCATACTGTTGAGCATCTTGGAAAATTGCAATGAAGAGAGTTCATTTATGCTTCCACAAAATCGTTAGACTAGATGTTTGAAGTGAATTGTAATGAAGATTCCTAAATGATTTAATTTGGAGCTTAAACTCATTTTCAGGAACAGGAATCTTTCCAAGCATGGCCAACTGAGGTGTTTTTGTTGTTTGTTGCTGGTGATTTTCTGTGTTTTGTTTTCATTATGAAAAGTGGTGCTGAAAGTTGTCTAAAAAATCAGTGTTATCTTAGGAAAGAAATAGCATGTATTTGTTCAGGAGTCATAAACTAAGGAACAAGAGGAAGATAAGAGTAAATGAAGCAGAATATAATTCTGGAATTCAGGGAGCAGGAGTCCTGTATATAGCAAAGAGCACTATTCTCATTCTTCTAGACAGAAGTACTTGGAACAAGAAATCTGCTGGGGACAGATATGTCACATGAATACACGAACAGTATTTTGGTCCATTTTTTTATTGAATTAAATGGAATTATAGCATGCATTACATAAAAAATCTTTTTGGCCTTCTGAAAAATGATACTCTAAAATGTCAAAAATAAAGTTTAGAGAGATTCCATTCTTCTAAAGTACAGCAAAAAAAACGAAGCTTACTACTTTATCTTTTTTTTCCCCAGACAATTTCTGAGGAATTGTTTTACCAGCTGAGTAACATGCTACCCCAAATCTTCCGAGTATCCTCTACATTAACTCTAACCTCTAAGCACTGAATTTTGTGCGAAAGTAGGTTGTATCCTGTTGACAGAAGAAAAGGTTCTGGAGAATCGGTACTGGAATTTCACTTCTCTGAAGCCTGATGATCCTGAATTGAAGTTTGTTGCAATTTCAAGAATAATGTTATTAGAATAAAAGATAAAATGCTACCTGTATTTGGATGTTAGCATTTCATTTTTACCTCTTTCATTCTTTTTCAGCATGCATTAATATTGAATTCTTCATCTTTTTCTGAAAGAAATTAAATGCAGCTAGTCTTATGGAATCTGCAGAAGTAATTTTCATAGATAGTAGGAATAAGGGCTTATGGAAGAAGTAGGATCCTCTTGGCAGAACAGGTGATGATTTTAAAAACGCATTCTAAGTGTTCTCAGTGGTAGTTAAAGGAGGAAAAAATGATGTCAGGTATCTCCTTTGAATAATTTTGATATCATTTGTCAGAGTTGTCTTTTAAAGGTGACCACAAAATAAAGCGTTTTACTGCTTCATTTCAGCACTTAACCATTATAAAATAAAAAACAAGAGAGAACTCTTTAACCTGTTGCATTTTCATGGAATCACAGAAACACCAAGGTTGGAAAAGACCTACAAGATCATCCAGTCCAACCAATAGTTCTCACTAAACCTTATCCCTCAACACGAAATCTAAACGTTCCTTGAACACCTGCAGGGGCAGTGACTTCACCACCTCCCTGGGCAGCTCATTCCAGTGCCTGACCACTCTTCCAGAGAAGTAGTATTTCCTAACATCCAGCCTAAATCTCCCCTGGCACAGCTTGAAGCCCTAATTGATTGTAGAGGAAATGGACCTGAGGGTATCGATCGATGCTTGGCTGAATATGAGCCAGCACTGTGCCTGGGTGGCCAACAAGGCCAATGGCATCCTGGCTTGCATCATGAACGGTGTTGCCAGCAGGAATAGGGCAGTGATTCTCTCCCTGTACTCAGCTCTGGTGAGGCCACACCTGGAGTTCTGTGTCCAGTTTTGGGCCCCTCACTGCAAGAAAGACATTTTGTAAATCACTGGAATTATTAAAAAGTAATCAATATATCTATAATTTTTCTTTCTTGAAATTATCACTCCTTCTTTATTTTATGGTATTTTCTTTATGACAGGATTCAATTTTTACTGAAAAATAAGCAATCTCGTAACCTCCTACTTCCCTGCAGAAAAAGCTGCTTTTAACCCATGTTGGGACACTCAAGCTTTTTGACTTATTTTTGAACACTAGTGACTGGAAGCAATTCTTAAATTCTAGTCTAGTAGAGACTAGGCACAGGGAAAATCCTGTCTGAAGCTGATATTTACAGGGTTCCTAGAGGAGTTAGCATCACAAGAAGGCAGCTGAGGTAGCGAAGGTCTCAGGTAGGTTTCTGAAGTCCACAGTTCTGTTCTATGGAAATCACTGGGAATCCTGATAGAGCTCACTTTGAATATGCAGTCTTTCTTTCTATGGATTGTTAGATTCTGCATTTGAAAACTGTAAATACATTTGAAATTATTGACTTTTGTCAGTGTGACTTACTATCTTAGTTTTGTAGATGTGAAGAAGGTAAAATTTTGCTCTGAAGAAGTTGCAATTTAGAATCCTTACAGAACTGAAGTAATATAGATCAGTTCATGATATTTATAAATTCACTGTGTAAGTAACAAATTCTTAGCTCAGTATTTTATTAGCTTAGCTTGGTATTTTTATTGAATCCTTCATGTGGTACTGAAGTCTCCTGTCTGATGCCTATTGCTGAACTATCAACTGCTTTCATTTGCTGTGCCAGCAGCTTCGAAACAAAAGTCATGCAAGTAATGACCTAATTTGCTTTTCTAGAAAATAAGGATGTATGCTTATTTAGAAGGAGCTTGATTAATCCTATTTGAGCTCATTTTACATTGCTGATTGGGAGCTGAAATCAAACTCCAGTGTGAGAAAAGGAAGTGCTCTAACCATGGTTCTGTTTCTGAAAGATGTGCCAGCAGAGTACTCCTTTGTTTTATCAATTCTAAGACTTACTCTGTGTTATAAAAGAGGTCTGGATTATGGAATTGGGTGTTTGTTTTTTTTTCTCTCCAGTCAGTTTATCTACCAGCGAACAACCTGTAGAACATCATAAATCCTTTAGCAAATCATCTGGCTTATACTGTCAAACTGTTAACAAAAATTGCATCCATGTTCTCCTATTTTGACAAAATCCCAAGAAATGCTACTTAATTTGGTAATTTTTGTTGTAAAAATGCAAGAAATTTCTTAGAAAAAAATTACCTTTTGTGATAAGCCTTACTGTTTTTAATTTTTTGAAGCTCTGTGATTTCAGTTCTCAGTGGAGTATTGAAATATGAATATGTAAAATTCACCCTAATTACCAACTGGTCTTTGATTAAAAAATAAAAACAAATTAAAAAAAAATCTAGTGGTGAGGTTTTGGAAAGGCAAAATGATGGAAGTGCAGGGAAACTATTAGTTATGCTTAAAATTGTATGGAACATTGTCCCTTTTAAACATTGTATTGAGCTGCCAAAATTTGTCATGAGAATTCTTGATAAATCTGTTATTGCTGCTGTTCTTACCTGTTCACAGGAAAGTGTTGACAGTGATCTTTAGGTCTCATTTGTTATAAAAAATCAGAATACAGAACTGAGATGACCTAAACTGCCCTTTCTGGTTGATCTGTATCCTGCAGCTGTACAGATCAGTAGTACCACAAATGCAATTTAAATAAAGCCTTGTGAGAAATCCTATTTGCACCGCAAGAAACTGTTTGATATTAAGAGGAAAACAACTTGATAGGCAGATTTTCTGTTAGTGCATGCACATCAGCATTCCTTGATAGATTAACACTACTGAATACCTTAAAAAATGTCTTGAATTGTGTTTGTGGCTGGGCTTGTATTCAGTGAGTTGTTCTTGCTATGAAGAGCAATAACAGATTTATAGGTACAGTTCTCGCCAGAATGATTTTACCCTGTTGTAATTACAGAAGCTCCACTGTTAGGAGCTATCACTGCCTAGAGAGATAAGAAATTGGATCTGGAGTATTTCCTTCTACAGTAGTCCACTCTGCATAACAGAACATAAGTTGATGAAGCGCAACTGGAATATGTTATTTCACAACTTTTCCCATTGTATGAGAAATGAGCAAAGCTACAGAAGGCAGTTATGGAGAGAGAGTATAAATTAAAGGAGGAAATCACGGCTAATCCAGGTCTGTTATTTATGTGAGCATTGAGCTGATCAGTTCATTTGTTCCATGCCTGGCTTTTCCCCTTGACAGAGAAAAGTTTAATTTATGCTTGTACAGTATTTTGAGCATTGGTCTTAAATGTCACTAATAGTACTGTTTCTTGTCTATACTATACCCAAACATACAATGCTGTTGCCTGGTATTCAGGCCAAGTCAGAAATGTAAAGGAATGTCTGTCTTCTTGTGTCTTTGTTTCACTGTGGTATCAGGAAGACCATTAGTGTTGTACAAAAATAAACTTGTTATTTCATCCCGCTTTCTGGATGTGGCAGGTTTCAGTAGCGACCACAAAATTGCAGTCCCATGGGACCACAAAATTAGAAGAATGTATTGTTAACTGCAATTACAAACAACCTTGTTTCTGCTTGTGTAAGTGCGAGGGCTTGACGTTATACTAAAATTACGTTTAAACATGAAATTGTAATCTTACCACAAAGTTCAGAAGTAGGGGGAACAAAGTAAGAATACATCATGAGGAGCTGCATTGAGAGATCATTCCTGTCAGTCAGAAAAAGCAAGACAGTGATAAACTAAGTATCTATGCAAAATTTGCTGTGCTTGGAGACTACCTCCAAGGGCTACCTTCATCGATATTCTTAAAGTAAATAAAGTTGTAGAAGAGCATCTCCACAGAGAG